CCGGACGATTCGGGAAGGAGAAAGATGGCAAAGGATACGGCGAGCAGAGCGTCTGTGCCGAAGATGAAGAATGTACCACCGTTTGGGATCTGCGAAAGGTTGGAGGGGGGGGTGGGCAATGTGTTGTAGGATTAGAGCTAAGAACTGCCTAAAGGGCAGCAGCATCGCTCACGCTGGCTAGCATGTTGGGCGTGGCTCGAGCTACGCATGCGTTGAAGAGCCAGTTGCTCATCGTACCTTTTACAAGAGGTGTCGAATCATACGCGGGTCAGCTATCGGCTTCTGGCCAGGAAGAGTAGCTAGGCGGACTGACCCAGAGACATGGCCAGAGCTCTGAGTCTTTGAGGCGGTACCTCGCTACTGACAGTCCAGACAGGTCCACTCCACCCCAATCCGAATCCGATGACGAACAAGTACAACATGGCAATGGTGAGGTAAGCGATGCCTTTATGTCGGGCGGGATCTTCACCAGCGATAGCTAAAAAAGTGCCAATCCACCACAGACAGAAGCATTGGATGAGGCCACCTATGATCAGACACCATTTGCGACCCAGCTGCTCGATGGCCAAACACATGAAGAGGAACGTCGTCGTAACTTTGACCACGCCGTAAATGCCTGTGGCGAACAGACCGGTGGATCGACCGCGCAGACCCAAAGTGCGAAAGATTTGTGGGCTGTAGTAGTTCTGTTGAGGCGAAACATAAGCTTGCTGTCAGTCCAGCCGACTGTGCCCCGGATCGCGTACGCTTGCGACCTCACCACGCCATTGACACCTGTCCACTGTTGCAGAAAGTTGACGATGGCCGGGACAAGACATCGATAGAGCGTCATTCTATCCGTCAACATTTCTCTGCAGGCAGCTTTGAGACCAGGATCGGCGCTTCCTTGCAAATCACAGCTGATCTCTGCTAACAGGTCAGCTACGTAGACATCTTCGCTAGATTTGTGCAATCTTCTCAGAGAGTCTCTGGCAAGATCTTGACTACCGTGTTGAACAAGCCATCGAGGAGACTCGGGGCAGTATGGGGAAAGGGTACCGAGGAGTGCAAGCAGCGCAGGCAGAGCCCTGCATCGGGATACGCGCACGCAAGCAAGATGACGGTCAGCAGCCTTGGGACGTCGACGATGCTTTGCGACTCACTGCAGACCAAAAGCCACTCTCCACTCCGTAGGATCTTGAGAGGCTGCGCCGAACCGCAGAGACAGACCATAGTTGACGAAGAAAGCGATCATCATGCCCGTCACTATGTTTCTCGCAGATAGCAAATCGATCAGTCGGTGATCGTCGAGGTGCAGGTGATACAGTCACAAGCTGGACTCACCAACAAATAGTTGGAAGGAGCAAGAAAGTTGTCCCCTGCTTTCTTTGGGCGCGATTTCCGCGATGCTGTCGTGCGTGCAAGCATGACGATGTTCTGCATGGGGGGCAGACATACTTGCAAGTCGGTATGATCAAGAAGCACACTTACTAAGTTGGCACGACGGAAGATGCCAGACCCACTCCGAACCCGCCGATCGACCTTCCAACATACAGCTGCACAAGCGCTTGTTCGGGATGTTGGGCGCCAACAGCGCAGCAAGTCTGCACCGCCGTCCCGGCCAGAGCGACGAGGGCAGCAAGGATCAACGATTTGCGCCTTCCGATTCGATCGGGCAATAGCAGTGCGGAAGCGGCGCCGAGGAAACAACCAGCTTGCAGAGTGGAGACGATGTTGCCTTTGAAATTGGCTAGCGATTGCGAGCCGGATGGAAGAGCGAAAGAGTGCTGGAAGGATGCGCTGTCCAGAAGACCGCCGATCATGCCCGTGTCCCAGCCGAATAGAAGACCGTACAATCCAGCCAAAAGACCGCAAGTGTAAGCGTTGCGATGCTTGTCGACTTGCAGCATCGTCGTCTTCACATGAGCC